AAACAAAAAATCTCTTTGGTAATCCGTTTTTATGCTAGAAATTTGGAGCACCGTTACCCTTTTTTTAACAACCTTCATTATCATCATAAACTCATCCTCATTTTCATTATTATCATTTTTTTATTGTGCAAAGAAGAACAGCTAACTGAGAAAATTCAACTGCAAAAGCTCTTATTAAACAATTTTAGAGCGTGTGTGTAATTATACATGGTCTCGTTATACTTGCTTTTGCTCACTGTCATCCCGAAAAAAAAGTGTTTAAACTAACCTCTTATTCTACTCTTTAAACCTGGCAATAGAAATCTACAGAAGTATCCCAAGGCCAATGGAGATTGATTAACGATTCATTGGCCTCCCTTTGCTTTTCTTACATTTGAAATGAAAAAGACGAAAAGTCGTCTTATGCTGTTAACCACTACTCGAAGTTAAAAATATAAATCAAAGGAACTCAAACAATCACCTCAAAAAAAAAAGCCCTATTGAATACCTATCCTAAAAACCGACGAAAAACAACACGAAGGAACATCTGTATGTAATATGTTTTGATTAAACCAACGCAGGGCACTTGTGTGGATGTTTCTCGTCAGCGAAGCGGCAAAACGAAGGGCAGCCAGTGTCATCCGAACTACAAAGGAAAATTGTGCCAAACACGTAAGTAATAAATATCCTTTAACCTAAGAGTGACTATTTGATTGGTTCCTACCTATGCTCCATTGGAGGGCAGACGCATAACTGGCGTCATCATTCACAAGTTTGGCTTCTATATTATATTAAACAAATTGATTCCATGTTGCCGTGCGTTCAGTTGTTAGTTACATTTTCCCCTAAGAATCAGTCATTAGGATTAAGGAATTAAAGGAAATGATCACCTACGAGACAAGCCGTTGATCGTTAAACAAAGACTCACTGTCATTACCGCAGGCAATGTGTAACGAAAAGTGTAGAGAATATGGGTATTGATGTAAAGGGTTAAAGCGCACTTGTAGATTTTGTTGATGATAATAAGAACTGCGATTTAGGAACTGAATTTGATCTCTTTCTTTGAAAATTATCAAGTGAGACTTGGCCAGTCTGCTGCAAATCCTGGAAAATCTTGCAAGCATATTCTTGAATCAAAGGACTCTGAAGGAGATGGGGAATACTGGATCGACCCTGAGGGCAAAGGAAATCCTTTGAAGGTCTACTGTGATATGAAAACTGACGGAGGTAGGTTAATGGTGCCAAGAGATGATACCGCATAAAAATATGCATCGCAATCTGTCATGTCCTAATTATCTACTTATCAAAAAAACAAAAAAAAAAAAACATTTTGGTGAGCAAAGAACGATCTGCTCGCTCTTGTAAGGAGATCCGAGACTTTGGGGACTTCATAGGAGACGTGGAGTACTGGATCGACCCAGAGAACAAAAGGAATCCTTTTAGGGTCTACTGTGACATGAAAACTGATGGAAGTGAGCCGAGCGTGAATGACTTACCAACGAAAGGAGTTTAGTGCGTCTGTTGCGTACACGTCACAATGGAGATTAAGAATTTTGAAGTAATTAAGGTGCCATGCAAAACTTAAAATATACAAGAAAAAAATCAACGATAAAACTTAAACAAATGATTTTAGACGAAGTAAGATCTAGTGAAAATCTTAAAGAATATGCATTATGGCAAGCGAAAAGAAAGCCAAAGAAATAAAATGTTGGAATTATTAATATCAACACACAAAAAACTCTAAGAGAGTACGAAAATGCTCACGTGTGGTCCTTACTCTAAAGGCTGTTTGATAGTGTTGCGTAATGTTTCATTTCAGGAGGCTGGTTACTTGTAGCAAACTTTGTTTTGAACTCTACTTCACCCCCTGACTGGACCGCTGAGTCATCATACCGCGTAATCAGAAACTTTGCCAACAACAAAATGGGTATCTCAGTGAGTGCACTGAAAGAACTCAGGTCACACTTGTCTTTCACTCAGCTACGATTCCACTGCAGTAAGAAACAAGGTCGTACGTTCCACGTGACCACGGTCAGTAACAGCACCGGTGAAGCTGTGGTTGAGTACTTCAGCGGCCAGAAGGATGTGCGTCCCGATTCATGTGGGTCTTTTCAGAGAATGGAAGACGACAACTCTAAGTTGGTAATTGAGTGTGAGAGTTGGAGTAATGACGGAAAATGGGGATTTAATGGAGGTGATGTGGAACGGAGGCTGTACACAGGGTTCGCACGCGTTCCACGCAGCTATCCTTGGAATATACTAGATGGATCCTGGTATTGCGATGATTGGGATCATGATCCCGTTTCGCCAGGAGATTTTTGGAAAATCTATGTGCGCTAAATAATTAGTTCAACCAAATATCAAAACAATGTTTGGTTAAGTTTTGATCCAGTGTGGAACTACAATTTCTCACTCTGTAAAAAGACAAACAAATTGCTTTCAGTCATTCGTTTGTTGACGCACGTCATAAGATGAAAACCTCGATTGTAAGATTTTCAGGTTTGCACGATAACCTCAACACTAGCTTGTTCTCATAATGATCGGTGTTATATCGCTATACATTTTCTTTTTAATTAAGTAGTGTTATAAAGTAGTTTGTCATATCTTGTATATGCGTTGGCAATTTGCATGATGACAAGGACAATTAAGGATTTTCTAGTGAGAGTTGGGAATATTATTTTATAACAGTATCTGAACTTTGTAGTGGCGCAATTTGTAAGCTATATTTGTCTGTAACGAGGGTTGATTATCTAGGGTGTAAAATATGATTTACAACTTCAATATTCTCACAAATAGAAGTATATTGGTTGAAATAAACTGTTTTCATTGTTTGTGTAATATGGTCAAAAAAAGCTTTTTGCAATGTAGCTTGAGACCCAATTTCACACTGTTTTAAAGAAATCTCATCCGGCACCAAGGTAAATAAGTCAGCTGTCAATTATGAATGAACTAGACTTGCCCCCTCCTGCAGTCCATTGTGAGGCTCTGGGCAGTGACAATAAAATTCCCCAACGATAAGCATAGAAGCCACACAAAACAGATTACTTCGAAATTGTCAAAACTAGATTACAATAACTTTGTGGCGACTATTTCATAATAGCACTGAGTTATTTGGA